AGCAGGGGCTGTGAAGTTCATATGTTCCCTGTACATTCAGTGGGGTGCTGTATCTCCTCGCGTGTTAAATGTGCATGTGTTTGTACGTGCACGTAGAAATAAGCTATGAGTTCCCAAAAGAAATCTGATAGAGATTACCTAAAGAGGAGATATAATTCAGTGTCTCTCTCAGCATACGTTTGGGATGGCTTGTATTTCTCAGTGCTGCCACTGAGTTACATTGGACCATCCTGGCATAGTCACAAAAGCCTTTATATTCTAGCATGTCGTTAGATATTCTGACTGCACCACTTGTTCTACAAGGAATGTTTTGCAGTTATAGGAAATTTTCTCCAGCTATGTACACCTGTGAAGCATGACTCCCTGAAGACCTGAATTCTAACCTCAAGAAGAGGAAAGATATGAAACTAATGGTTAAAGCAGCTCAAAAAATGGCCTAATTTTTTTATTCTCTCTGAAAAGAATAATTCTTTTGCAGTAGACTCTTTGGGACCCTTGAGCTATTTGTTCAACTGTAAAGCTAGGAATTTTGTGTCTTTGTGGCATGAAGTTCTAATTTCTAGTTTTGAATCTCTCCATAATCTCTTATACATAACTGACTATACTTTCTGTGGCGGTTAGATCAGTACAGTGCCAGGGTTGAAGATTTCATGTTAGGGGAAAAATTTCCCTAGTATGTTATTTAGAAACTTAAAACACAGCTGTTTGTTAGAAACTTTCAGGGTCTTGGAATGATAGCAGTAGGATAAAGAGAGGGAAACGCAGGAAGACAGACAGAGGTAAATGTACTTTGGCGTCATGACGTATTAGGAGCAGGCAGGATAGAGGTCATAAATCAGTATTTAGACAAACAGCAGTGGAATGTTTTCTATAAACCTTCAGTGATTGTTAATATTTAAAAGCAACAAGCACCAAGATGCCTTTTGAGTGGAAAGGCTACAAGGAAGCTGATAATCCCTATGTTATATGAATCTGGGCTTGAATCTGTTGAAAGACAATGGCATTTTCTCTATAAAAGAAAGGAAGGTTAATCAGGTTGTGTCAATGGTCTGTGTTCCTCTGAAATCCAGTTACATGCTGCCTTTGTAAGAGGATTTGTCTGTGAAACTTCCATGTATGAGTCCTTAGGATCTTCAGGAGAGGATTTTAATGCAGATTCTTAGGAAAAGTGCATCCCAGATCTCCTTACTGGGCCACACTGGAAACACCTTTCCGCCCCTTCTGCCTGTCCGAGGTAGGCCGCAGCAAGTGATTATTCCTCAGCACGAGCGACACTGACACAGCGGTGCGGCACGCTGTGCTGGTGGGCAGTGCTGAGAATTGGAAGGCTGGGCATTTTGGTTTTCTCCACAAACATTGTCTCCTCTGCTAGACACTCCAACTCCTTTCTTCATAAATGACCTGGTTCATGCACCATCTCCTGTGTTAGTGTGTTGACATACGTCCTGGGGGGCCTTAGGTCCTGCTGCAGTCGTTTCACCTGCAGTCACGGGTGAGGTGGTTGTGATGGTTGCCTAGCCTGGTCATCAGACCAGTGCTGATGATCATTAAAGAAAGGCCCATGAAGGTCTACTGTTATTAATACTGGTGGGTGGATTTCATCACCCTGCACCAATAAGCAGAAGCCCCATACAAGAGTAGGTGAAGTACCATCATTGAACCCCTGTGTGGGTGCATGTCACACAGAGGACCAGCTTAGTTCATCTCTGCAGGGCCACTGGAATCCAGCTGGCGGAGGCTGCTGGGGATATCTCCTAAATGGATGTGTGCTCTGTCCCGGCAGGCCTGCTTCTCTGGCACAAAACTAGGTGCTGGTTCCGGCATGCTGCTGCAGCCTTTTCCACCTCCACTGCTTGCTCTAGGTTTTCTCCCACTGGAACTTGGTCTCAAAACCTGTGCCAGCTTTTGTATTCAGAATCAAACACACAGCTAGCTAGTCACCTGCAATTGCCAGAAGGAAGAGGGTAAAGAAAACATAATTGCAGACATCTGGCAATATGAATGATGCATTCATTTATACCTTTGTTTAATTTCTGAATTTTGAGTGCATTGTAATATGGATATGGAGAGGGGATCAGAGAGTACAAGTGTTATTTTTCTTGCTTAATATTGGAAGCGATCCAAACCCCTCTGATTTCTGCTGTTAGAGCTAACCAGATTTGGGGTGGAATGTACAGAAGTGCCATGTGGATGACTCTTAAAAGCCTCTTCTCTGACCCAGTGATGACATCTCCAGGATCTATGGAAGCTTTTTTTTTTTTTTTGCCGTGAGAGTTGTTTGCTGTGGCTTGTTTTCCCACCGTACCTTTGGTTCTCAGCAGATACACCAGCTTAAATTGGCTGGTGATTCCCTGCACTTTTGCATTCCCCCAAAGTGTTTCGTACTGATGGAGAAGTCAGTCGTGCCTGTTGTGGTCACTTGACCCCTTCCCTCTTAGAGTCTCCCCGGGAAGATGTATGGCTCTAGCAGTAGACACCATGGGTCTGAGTACACAACACCATGGAAGTGTGGGAGCTGGGAGTTCATACAGCTGCTACGTGACGGGAAGGAGTGCAATGCAATTTCTAGTGACTAATATTTCACATAAGCTAGTGTGCTGTTTCTTTTCTATAAGAACCTTGTAAATGGCTAACAGATTGTTTTCCCCTCTCTCTCTGTTTCTCTGTTTAGCAGGAAGGAACGTCCTAGCTCTCTGAATGTCTTCCCCCTCACGGATGGCATGGTACGTGGGCAGATAGGGGCCAAGATCGTCCCAACACTGGACCACTGGCACCTGAGTGACCTCGGCCAGCTGCAGTCCAACTCCAGCTACAAGGTTTTATAGACCATCACAGAGCAGGGGTTTCCCACTCTCCCACTGTCAATAGCATCCCATGTTTTCGTTAAGATGGAGACCAATCTGTGTCCATAACCCTTTGCAGCCTCTCCCTGCTGTGTGTCTGCTCCCTTGGTAGCTGTGCTGTAGGTGGGAAGATATTCTTTTGCAGATCTGGTATAAGGTACGGGAGGGATTTGACACAGCTCCTCATGCTTCTTGTCTCAGTGATAATCTCCTTTACTTGGCTGGCCCCAAGGTGAAAGAAATGTGTGGGGAGGCAGATAGAGATTTAGGGAGGATAAACCCTTCACTTTTTTATAGCTTATTTGGGAGAGGAAATGGTGGAACCTGTCCCCTCTCTCCCCCTTGATAAGAGCAGTGCTTTTGCACCTCAGCTGGGACCAGGCATTGGGTTGCACTTGCTCTCCAGTGTTTGTCCTTTTTGACTGATTGCTGTTCTGGCCTTCCTGTCTTCAATAAAAAGGGCTCCTCATCTTCTCTGGATGCCCGAGTCTTGCACTGTGCTTAAAGGTCTTCAGTTCCTTGTATTGCTCTAGACTTGCATTGTCTACCTTCAATACACCTGTCACCTTCAGTACGCTGCCTTCTGCACTGGGGCTTGCCAAAAACCTCACAGCGTTGCAACTGTGCTGAAGCGGCTGCATGGTTCTGCCTGTTGCTTGTGGTGCTCCGCTCTGCCATTCGGAGACTGGTCTGAGCCCAAAGACCCAGATGTTGTACCCTTAGCTGACAGCTCACTGCAGTTGTTAACAGTTTAGACTACACGTGGTGACTCGCATTTCCCATGAACTGTACCTGTAGACTTCGCAAAGTCTTTGTGCTTAGGATCCCACCAAATTCCTCTCTTTGAATGATGTTCCACAAATGCCTGGTGACAGGCCTGAGAGCCAGTGATGCATCTATGCAGCATGGCTTACAGTATGTCCACCAGTATCTCACAGAGCTTCTGTTCTGCTTTAAAAGGGTCTGATAAAATTTACTTTCTCTCTGCCTGGAATTTGTAGAACATCAGGTGTTTCATATGTCATGTTTAAGGACTGGTCTCCTTTTGAGAAGTTGTAAATCACTAATCCTGTAAAATATATTGAGGCAGTAAAGGCAAAGAGGAGGGGAAAAAAACAAAGAAAGAAAAAACCCAACTTACTGTTGTATCCGTTCTGCATGTCTCCAGATTACGTTAATGGTACTTTGGCCTGAGGGACTCTGCAGGAGTGGCCTCCTTGATGCATAGCACAAGAAATTCAGACAAATTCAAAATTTATGCAGAAGACAAAGCAGCAGCTTCCCTTTTTTAACACTGCCTTTGTGAAGCAGCCAGGCTTAGCACAGCACAAACCTTAGCGCTTCGTCAGCCCTCTGCCATCATGGAAGTTGGAAATCCAAAAGCAAGATCTTTGGGTAGGATGGAGACTGTTCTTGGAACCCAACCCTTGCTGTAGTGTTAGAGGCACAGAAATTTGGGAAACATAGCAACTTCCAGAATGCCAGTCAGGTCCTACAGTCATTTCTGGAGAGCTTTGCCTGGAATTAGGGAATAGCAACGCCACAGTGCAATAACGTAATTAAGGATGGTGGAAATGAAGATAGAGCGTGAATGTGTTTCTTCAGACTAGTGCTGTGCCAACACAACACTGCTGCAAGGACACAACAGCAACCAAAATGCACAGAGACCAACCAGCTTCTGGTTCTGGAACCAGTTTATTCCTTGGGATCTCCAGGCAGTGCTGCACACTATGGTGTGAACATGCACTCGAGCTCTCTAGCAATCAGGCGTGTGTGGCAGGAGTTAGTTTTTAGAGAAGAGCTGGGACGACACTGGGGTTAGATCCATCTTCCACAGACTTGCTAAGGCGTAATTCTTGAAGCGGTACCATTGCAGGACTTCAGAAAGAAGTTGAGTGGATCTCACTGATAACCCAGCATCTGCATTGCAGGAGAATGCAACAGGAACCCAGATAAATTGGAAGCTTTCATGTCCAAGTTCAGGTAATGGAGGTTTACTGACTGGATCGCTTAGTGATTTGGTGGTGGTGGTGTCAGGCAAAAAAATTGTTTCTGGTTACAAGAAAGCTTTGTGCAGAAGTAGTAGTGTGCTACTCCAAATGTATCTGATGGGTAGTGCTGGGATTTGTGTTGGTGCTCGTTAGGGAAACTCAGAAGTGGGATGCTGGGTTTAAGGAGGCTAGCCAGTAGGGTGGAGTTAGAGAGCTTGGGCTGTGGAAGACTTGGATGGGGTACCATGTTACGGAGGATTTCCTAAGAGTATGGAGCAAACCTATGAATAATTAAAGGATGTGATTGATTGACTGACTTACTAGATTTGCAGTTTGGAATGGAGATTTTCCTCCTGCAAGCTTCTTGCGCACTCTCTGACTGGAATGCTATTTCTCAAATATTTTGCATGACTGAAATCTCAGCAGTACTGCTCATGCACTCCTTGCCTCTTCTTCAGCAGCTCTGATATTTCACTGACATCAGCTGCACACACAAGACTCACCTTCCCAGTATGTATATCCTGACTCTTCTGACTAGTTTTCCTTCTTCATGGGGACATACTGTAGTTATATTTTAAGTGTCCTTGTATACTTATTTTTCTGTTTTAGTTGCTGTGATTATATTATTTTATTTTTACATTCAGTTGTATATTTATTTTACATAATGTTTTGGAGATTAAAGTCCTTAACATTTTTGTTTTTATGTACTATGCTTTCAGTGTTATAACCACACAATTGTGGCTTCTCATGGTGACATATGACTGCTATGAATGTTGGGCCTTTGCAATGCATTTTGGAGGTCACTACTACACATTTGATGTTTAGGAGGTTGACAGGTATGGCTGTAGGTAAGTGGTGGTTGTGGAGAGTATTCTTTGGGTGAGCTATGGGTTATGGAGAACGCCTCCTACACTGCAGAGGAGAGCTGTACACTTAGTGGAATACTTAGCATTAACGAAGCACTCGGGACAATAGAAGGAAGATAACAGCAAAGATTAATAGAGCTTCTGGACTGTGAAGAGGAGCACCTTAGTAGTACTTACATCTGGGAGGAATTGCTCCAATGCAGGCTGGTAGGTTGATAAAGTATGTTTTCTAGGTAAATATAAAACTCAGATGTATAACCAAAGAGTAAGTGAAAGACTAGGGTAATTACTCACTGGTGTGTTCTGAGTGAGGGGAAGATTATGTCAATAAACAAGAAGTTACAGGATATCTCTGATACAAAAATCGCCCTACAGACACTGATGATACAGGCTTTCTGAATGACATCTAGTTCCTAAGAACAAGGAATGGCACGTGGACCCACCTGGGTGTCTCTTTCACAGTGCTGAGATGCTTGTGGACTTTGGTTATGCTTATAGATTTACAGTGGGTACAAGAACATCTCTGGATCCTTTCATCCAACAGAAGTTTTGTCTGGGGAAAGAGGTTTTATGATTGCACTTGACACTTGATACTCTTTGTCCTTTTGTACATTAGAAAGCACAGCAGGCAAACTGCAGTTGAAGTAGTACAAGACTTACTGGATCATATTTGTTCTCAAAAACCTGGTTTGATTTTTTTTCTTTACATATTAGGAAAGTAGCTCCTGAAACAGGAATATGAAATAGAGGTGGGAAGTGTGGTTTTCACATGTAGCAGCCCAAGTGAAAAGTCCCCATCTCAGTCTTGATGCTAAAATCAACAACTGTACAGGGAGATGATTTGAATGGCCATGTGGGAATGTGGCTGCTGTTTGGACTGACAATGCAGAAACTATATATAAAATGTGGATCGTATTTAATGGTAACGCAGTTTTTCAAAAACCTTCAATTTCCAATATAAATGCACAGATGCAATGTAAAGCCTTTGACTTCCACAGTGTAATGTACAGCAGGGTATTTTAAGATAAGCATATAGAGGCCAGTCTAATTAAAGGAAGATCTTAAGATTCCAGATTTAAAAAAAAAAAAAAAAAAAAATGGCGGCAAAGGGGTAGGGAATCCTTTTTTCTCGTTTTTCTTCCCGCCGCCATT